TACACGGTGTGTTAATTACGAACAATTTTGTTGACTGCATTATATTCAATTCTTCTAATACAATTTCACACATTTTTTATTCAATCACCGCTAAGTGATCACAAATTGCGATGAGGGAATTTCGAAGCCACTGTTGGGAAGGAGCTGAGTGCGATGGGTCGGGTCTAGATAAACATAACAATTTGTCGAAAAAGGTTGAATCCCCAATCCTAAGGGCCTCCCACGCCCCGACTCGACAGAGCATATGGGAGATTGTAAATCACGATGACTCAACTAATCATAACGATGGTAATTAAACCTTATACCCGTGCGCACCAGAGGTCTAACCCAGCACATAGGAGCTGTGACCTTTACACGGTCGTTGCAGGTTTCGATCATTGGTCATTTGTCCAACTTTCCCACCACTTGACCAGTTGAGCTACCTGTGTGGGTGGATAAATATAACAATGAAATTGCTTTTTGTAGAATGGACCATTTAAAGCGCTTATTTGATCAAATACTGTCTTCAATAAATATTTATGTTCCTTTCCAAAAAAAATATGTTTAATTTTGACATAGTTCTGGGGCGCTTTTTTTTGGGCGCTTTTTTGCATGGAAACACTCCTTTTTTATGGTAAAAAATGCGGCTTTATATTAAAATCAAGAACGCATACAAGACAATCTTCAGACAGATTTTGCAGATCCAATCGTTAGCCCTAGGAGTAGACATAGAATCAGTCACCTCATACAAAGCAACCTGACTCGCTACACCTCAAATTGACAAATGTAAGCCTAAAATGAACAGATCTGAAACCTTGCCCATCAAAATAACTCCTAATTTTTCACTTCTAACTGAATTTCTTTATTTTTGCATAAACTAAGTTGTATATTTTCTCGGTTCTTTTTCAATCACAATAGTTCACTTTTCACGTTTGTCAATACACAAGTTTGACCATTAATATTTTTCATTCTCTATTAGTAAAAAAATTAAAAAAATCAGATGTTGATAATTTAAAATGAGAGGAATATAACAATTTTTAAAAAAAAAATTAATTTGTATACATTAATAAATAAAATATAGTCAAAATAAAATATATGAATAGTGTAAAAAGTTCAATATTGCAATTAAAAGAGAATGAATGTAGTATATTATCTCGTAGTAGGTACAAGCAATAAAAAGAGAGGAATGCTATGTCCAAATTTTACCCTAATATTTTTTGATATTTTATATTTTGTTTTTAGTTTATGTATACAATTATTTGATCTTAATGATGTTTTGAAATTTTCTTTACGTGTTTACATTTTAATGACGTACATAGTAATTTTTAACGTTTTCAATCCTCATATTCAGATTATTGAAAATTAATATTTTTTAAAATCTCAATTAGAATCAATTTTCTCAATTTTAAGTCGGTATTACTCCTGTAAACGAACTCTGCTGCCGTTGTTCTACGTTGGACCCAGCGATGCCTCTTCAGTTTTCATCCACATGACCACATCCACAATGCAATTATAACTTTTGACCTACAAAAGAATAATCAAGCGTGAAGATGGGGGCTGGGCTGGTCAAAGATGGGGATGGTGGTTGGGGGCAGGTCCGGGGGCGGGGCTAGAGGGCAAGGGTGGGGATCTGGTGCTTGTTGGCTCTGTGAAGGGTGATGGTTATGGGGCTGTGAGTCTGTGACAGGGGAGGGGAGAGGCTGGGGCTAGTTGGGGAGGGTGCAGGCATGGGGCCAGTGGTCGTTGGGGGCTGTGGCCGGTGTAGCTAGGCGGTGGTCACTGGATGAAGCAGTGTGGCGGCAGTAATTGGGCGGTGCCGGAGGCGTCACTACGTCACTGTGACGGTGGCGGTGTAATTTGCGTGAAAAAAATTGACTTTGAAGACTCTTAGTGACAAGAAAAACGAACACAGTGACATAATTTTTTTTGTAGTGACATCATGTTTTCTAATTCCAAATATATGACCTTGTTAGTTACTTTTTTGTCAATTTTTAAAAGTACTCGCATTTTTGGAAATTCAGTTCAATTTAGTAATATTGAAGGAATAACCCCTAGATATCAACCAGACTCGATCAAACCAGAACAGAAATTTCAGTCCAATTAAAAACATCCTAACATTACAATTAAATTGTTACAATCACATAATATTATGCTTCACTAGTAAATTAAAATAAACACATTTTCATACTCTCAAAATAAATATACACATCTTAGTTGACAACTAAGATGTTGATGAAATTTAAAAGATTGTGGAATTTATGAATATTAATGGAATTTGACAGATTGCATAAGACTCCATGAGACTCCCATAGAATTATATCTAACAACATTATATTGGTGAATGAAGGTTGGTACCCTTGATTTGTGTCAATACATTTATCACAAAAAATTGTACATTATGCTTAGAAAATGATACCTAAGTTTTCAAGTGACTTTAATAACCCTACTCCTTTAAACTTCCGTTAATTACTTCACTTTTTTGAGCACTTCCATGGCCGTTACTTCATTTATGAAGAGAAGCAATGGTTATTATATCTGTTTCACATTTCATGGGTGAATTACTTATATTAACACATACTTATTTTTAATATAAGAAATTCATGACATCCATTTAGATAAGAAAGGTGTGAACTCTAAATAATTTAGAGTAGAGGATCATTTTAGAGCTATTTTTTCATATAATTTTGTCTTTATTTTATTAATAAGATATATATTAAATATTTTTCCATAAATTAGCATAATCAGTCGAATCAACATGAATTTCATAATTTTCAGAAGAATCAATTGATTCAGCCAATTTCATTATTATCAAACAGACTCGGAATTCATTTATATGTAAAATAATGCTGCACAAACAGTGTTCAAAACATCTTATGTCTTCCTTACACCAACAATTGTATATTTTGTATATCACGATGCATCACATGCAATTTTTTAAAAATGGGCCTATGTGTGAATTTAATCCTTATATTTATTTTTCTTTATCGATCACACACGTTTACTGTTTGGATAATAATATAGTAATGACCAAAAACTAAGAGAGCCATTTTCTACAGATTTGGATGAATATGATAAAGAGAACTATTAAATATGTTTTACATAATTATTTTCAAAAATTTATTAGTATAAAATATTTAAAAATACACATATTTTTCTATTAGGAAATACTCCCTCCGTCTCAGGGTTCCCGATTCACTTTACGATACTTAACTAATGATAAAGTAACTTGATCCCTGTTCATACTCTGATCATTTTTAGTAAATAAGATTTACATATTCAGAAACTACATTAAAATCGCTACAAATAAAAGTCTGATAAAAAATTAAAATTTGATGAAAATTTGATGTATAAAGCAAAAAAGTAAAAATGATTTCAGTTGACTATGTGAATAGTAATTTGAAGCCTTTGAATGGAATGGAGGTAATACAATTTTGTTATAATTCAACAAATCCAATCAATTAATTAATTGGTTAAGATATAATTTCACACATATACATTTAATTCGACTCATAAAAAAAAAATCGACTCATAAAATGTTGGGATAATGTTTTCAAGATAGATTTGATGGATTTTAAAAGAATTAAAGTGATACATGAAATTACGAATTTCTAATTTTTTCTAAAAAAAAAAAGTATACTGATTTTTTTTATCATGAAGCAAATACATATTTACATGATAATATAAACCTTTTTACTATAATGAATATTTCTCCTCAAATATATATGAAAAATTCTTTGTACCAGTCAGACAAAAATCCCCCCTTGTCTACGCCTCCACTCATATAGTCATATATCACGGATGTTAAGATGCCCAACAATACTATTTTTGGAGTATTTATGAATTAACTTTTTTTTAGTTTGGAAATCATCAAACAACTATTGGCTCATGATCCACGTAAACAGAGGTGGTCAATAATACTACTTTTATTTTATTTCATTTAAAAAAAAGTGTGAATACAACTATTTCATAGAATTCTCTAATAATTTATGACTTCTCCGATTTCACATTGGGCATGAGTTATCGTGCCTTGCACGATCAATCGCTAGTGGATTTTAATATGTGGGAATTGTGTTAATTATAGGGCTTGGGAAGCTCTTTTTTTTCGTTGCTGCTGCTTTTTCACCTCCTGCTCCAAACTGCTTGTCCACGTTCCTCGGACAAGTAGTTTAATGATCACGAATAATCACGATGCTTCTTTCCCAGTAGAGCCATGCCACCAGACTAGCTCCACCCCACCACCAGGGACGGATTTAAGGGGGGCGCGGGGGGCGACCGCCTCCCTTGGGCTTTCAAATTTTTCTACTATATATGTAGTATTTTCATAAAATTTTCATACTTTAATTTGATATATATGTTTTCGCCCCCCTTGACTTTTAGTTTTCAAAGTTGATATATAGTCTTACATAGTGTAATACTTTATTAGAGATTTAAAAGAAGTAAGATCTAAAATAAATTAGATAGTTTAAGACTTAGGGTACCTATTACATAAAAATTCCTAGGTTTTGTAATATTTGATTGTCTTTATAGATAATTAGTTTTAAATTTTGTAAAAGAACAAATGATATTAAATATCAGACACACCAGTTAAACAGTTTTAAAATGTGAAGTGAATCCAAAATATAAATGTTTGTTGACATTAAATTATACAATTCATTTACTTCTTACTTTCTAAAAGCAATTTATTGCATAAATAATAAACTTTAACGTATTTTAGCATTAATACAAATATAATATGTACCATATATATGAATTAACAATACTATATATAATATTATTCTAAATATAATAATCTCATACATACTATTGTAATATTAAAAAACTTCTCGTGACACATGAATACCCTCCTTGGTAGACAAAAACTACAATTCAAAAATCATTTTTTTATTCCGATAAGATTCATGTGATTAAACAAGACATAAGTTATTTAAAAGACATCGAATGATGTTTAATTACCTTTCAAATTTTTTACCTTCAAATAATTCGACAAAATGTTATATATCCTTTTCTATTTTCAAATAAATTTCCTTTGATTTGCAATTTCTTATGCTTTAATGTATCAGTACTTTTTTATAGAGCATTCACGGTTACAATTCTTGAACCTCTGACCTCCCTCTAGTTTACCATTCTTGAACCTCTGACATCCCTCTAGTTTCTTAACATGGTACCCCGACTTCCACAACCTCTCGCCAACCTATCTCTTTATTCTTCCACACTATCATTCCTCACCTTTCATAGGCTCCACAGGCAGTAAATGAAGTGGCAAACTGAGTTGGCCATAGAACAACTTTGGAACAAATGTGTTTCTGACTCAATATCCGCATCGCAAAACATGCACTGTATAGGAATATGCACCCTCCTACTTTTTAAATTAATTGTTGGTAAAATGTCTGACATCAATTGCCAAAAAGAAACATTTTATTTTAGGAGAAATCTCCAAGCTCCGCACCTTGGTCCACCCTATCGCCATTAATAGTTAACAGTATACTCATCTCGAATTAATCTGTAACCACTTCTAATCATATAGATGCCCCTTGAATCTTCATTTCACCACCGGTCATCTAAGGGTCGCCTCTCACTTAGAGGAATAGAGAGTATAGCCATTTTTTCATCTTCTGAAAACAGTGCCTCTGTCTTGTGCAGATCACATTTCACTTGTCACCTGTTTTGTTCACTGGAGCCACTACATTCATGTTTGCTATTTCAACTAGCGGCTCCGAGTGTATCATCTCGTCTCCAGGACCAGGTAGCCACATCTCTTTCCATACTGAGACCGATCGTCCATTTTGTAATTCTCATTTATAAACAAATCTTTAAACATGATTCCAGACTCCAAAACAACATGTATAAAGCAAACTCGTACTCCGTATAAATTTATGAGATGAATGGTGTGTAATAAACTGAAGGGTACTGTATTGGGTGATTGAAATTTGTCTGGCCTCCAAATACAACCACAAATAGAACAAATAGTACACAAACTTAAATTCTAAGATTGAAAAACTTGCCGCCGAAAAAGGAGGGGCTCTATACAAACTATGACCTGAAATATACAGACACCAAGGAAGCTACGAAGCAAAATGGATGCCAAGCACTGTGAATACATTTAACATAAAAGCCAATATTTTGACTGAACTTAGCTTGAATGGGCTGTTGTGTGATGATCGGTTCTTATCAATCTGTCCTGCATTTACAAATTCACTCTTGCCTCTGGGAGTAGCAATGGAAACATTAATGGATGTCGAACCTGCATAGGTGAGTATAAAAAAACTGCTTCACAATAGTTTCACTTTTTGAACTTGTAATTTCATTCTAAAAGATCAATTTGTTATTGGGGTTGTAAGCAAATCAAATTGAACCAAAACTTAACAATATTATTCGTATTCTCTAAATTACCGTATATTCGTATACTTTGTCCTTTTTGGCTTTTTGCCATATTTTCATAGGGCACATCTTTCTTACAAATCAAAATACATCTACAAGTCATTTTCTCCAAAACTAATATCAATATGAATGTGTCATTGGAGAATTATAATCTAAAAATAAAACGTGCAAAATATCTACTAGTTTCAGAATTTCATTACATTAATATTATGTTATTAATATTTGTACATTATATTATAGTTATTTATACGAAGTACGGAGTAATATATATTGTATGAATGTGTGTATATATATGTGTATATTCCAATACAATTGGAATATATTCAAATATTGTTCAATTCAAATATATTTAAATATTGTTCAAATCAAATATAATAGTATTTGTACTCGTCTTCGGAAACTCTTCGAATCAAAAAACATATGTGTAGTCGTATTGGAATTCTATTTATTCGAATTCAATTTCACATTTTCAAATTTGAATCACAAATCGAATCAAAATTATTCGATTCATGTACAACTCTTGACTATTGCATCAATTGCAATGGAGCCAAAGACTCACTATTTTTTGGCTTGGGAATATGATGGAATAAAGCAAATGGTTCACAAAAGTGTGTGCGCTTCTTTGTTGTGAAACTGCAGTTCATGCAACTTTAGACGCGATTTTCACTATAGGTCATGCAGAAACAGTCTCTTTGTACTTTAGTACAGGGGTAAGACTGGGTACATCCGACCCCTTCTTACCCCCACTGTAGGTGGGAGCCTTTGCGGCACTGGGGTAATGATGATGACGATTTACAACTCTTGCCTGTTAAAATGAATGATCCAAAATTTTATAATACCATGTATTGGTTCGAACATTCATATTTACTTGATGTGAGATTTATCTCTTACTAGAATGTATCTTATGATGTATTGATGTTCACAGAATGAACTATTCTGTATATTACTCTTAGAGTATGTTTGACACAACTAGCTGAAAAGATACTTTTGTGAGCTTTTTAATAACTGTTAGCTTTTAGTGACTAAAAAGATCTTAAAAAGAAAAGGTGTTAGCTGTTTGGTAAAAAGCTGACTGTTTGATTTAGTTCGGTTTGGTATACAAGCTGTTAACACTAATTAATACAAAAAGTCACGGGCTTTTCCCAGATGCTACTCCCTGTAGCATCTCAAAAAAGATCTTTTAATTTTCGAAAAGCTCTTAAAAATTGTTATGCCAAACAAACAATTAGAAGCTTTTAGAGACTTTTTAAACAGTACAAAAGCTAGAAGTTGGAGACTTATGTGTGCCAAACATGTTCTTAGTTGGCATCCATTTATGAGTCACAGCTGCAAGGATAGAGAAAGTTTTTATTTAATGGGGACAGAGACTACTAACTATCAATAGTATAAAATAGAAGTTCATTTATCAATGCCCAAGCATGAAATATGAATATATCTTCATAAGTGACAATTGTGTTGTTGCAAAATGGATGAGCAAAAAATACTATAATTGGATGACAAATAGAGACACAGGAAGCACTACTGGAAACCTTTATAAATGCTCAGTGTTCTCATAAACATAAAACTTACAGTCGTAATTTGCCCATCCAATGCGTTGGTTAGCCAAATCATAAACAACGATCTTGTCTTTCAATACAAGGTCTGTAAATAAAAAAAAAGTAAATAAGAATGAACAAATTCATCTGTGTGTGTGTGTCTCATGACATTGTGCCCAAGAGACATGCTAATGCTAGAATGAAATGTTGAGAAGTATTTAGAGTATGAAAATACTAAATGCTAATGCTTGATTGAGGGGTTTGGGAGAAGGGGAATGGTAATTAAAGTGATTCTTGAGAGGAAGTAATGAAAGGTTAATAGTGGTTTTGATTCTCCACTTTGGGGGATACCCCAAGGCCTTAACACTCCCCCTCAGTTTGGAGTAGTATTCTCATTCCCACAATGTTTTCGGGTCTGAGTTGATTTGGTCTGATCTGATCTGTTTAAGTTTGGTCCGGAAGATGTCGGTTCTATGTGTATTTTACAATTGCCGAAGTCTGGTTGGTCCGGAGCCAATTGAATTAAAAACATCCTCATTCCCCGACCCCATCATGTCCACTCTAATACCTATACTCATCAATTTACCAAGCATTCAACAACACCCTTAAAGGTTGGATGAAGAAAGAAGAGCCAAAATCAATGAAAACCCAAAATCTACAAAAGGGTAAAATCATTGGGATACTAGCCAACAACAGCCCAAAAGCGTTTTTTGCATTCTCTTCCAGTGAAAACGTAACAGGTTTATCATTCCAGACCTCACAAATGCAAAGACGTATCACATTAAATCTCTCTAGAATCCAGGGACACCCAGACACACCAAGCATAAATGTTTTACCTCCTAAAATTGTTATTCCTTTGCCTGGAATTTTCTCAAATCCCATGCACCAGATGGCAGATCCACCCTATGTCATAGCATATGTAATTACTTCACCAAATTAACAATCCTAAACAATAAAAGAACGGCGAAAAATGATGTTTAGTCATATAGAGGAAATTAGGAAAATTTAAAAATAATATTCCCAACTATTGCCGGTCCACCGTTAATAATCTCAACTATAGATTATTCTTGGGTGAATCCAACTATAGGGGTCATCTCACCGGTCACCGATTGTCCAGGTTAAAAAAAGGATATCTACTTATAATAATCCGAATTATGGTTGGTCCGTTTTTAGTAGTCCCAATATCAAAGCTCGAAAACGTTGCAAATGAATAAATAAAAATAGTAACCTGATCCATCCTAATCTATTCAATTGTCACATATACTTTATAGAAATATTTTATTACATGCACAACTTGCCTATATTTGTAAAAAAGTTCATTTCTATATACATAAGTTTCCTTACTTTTCTCACTTTTTATGCTCTAATGCTCAATCATACATTTTCATCGTCATTTCAAGCTATTTTCACTTTTTCTACATTTTTTACAATTTCCATTGCATAACTTAAACTTATAATATTAATACCTTTTCATTAAAATAGCCAAAACTTATAGCCCAAATCTTTATAATTTAACGATAAACTATGTGTAGTATCACAAGTAGTACAATTTATAGAGTATAATAATACTACCTCCGTCCCTTACAACTTTGCCAAAGTTGACCGGCACGGAGAATAATAAAGTAAAAATTGTGTGGTTGATGTTATGCAGAGGAGAGAGAAATAACAGAAACCACAAAATATTGATTAAAAGGGAAAGTGGCAAAGTTTTTTGGGACGTCCCAAAAAGGAAAGATGGCAAAGTTTTAAGGGGCGGAGGGAGTATAAAATAAAATAAATATAGAAAGGAATTAAAAATACAAAAATGGAAAAAATATAAATTTGGATTTTGAGAATTAAGTTAGCATAAAAAAATAAATATAATATATTTTTCTTGAAAAAAATTAGAATAAAGCTCTAAATCGTAAATTTTTTAATCACAGTAAACTTGTTGAAATAAAAAAATGTAAATTTGAATAAAGGAAAATAATGCAAAATCATAAATTGGTAACACAACTGGGAAAAACAAATTGGAAAAAAAGAAATGAGATTCTGGTGAAAGTAAATTAAAAAATGACTAAAATGATTTTATTTAACCTCGATACATTTTTTGTACCTCGGTACATTAGTAGAATTTTGTAATTATGTTTACATGTTTAAATAAAATTAGTTTGGAAATTTATAAAAGCTTATCTTTTTTATGCATAAGAGCTTTACACCAAAGAGTGAATAAAGCACAGGAACTCACGATAGAGTTTTGCTGTAAAAGGTAGTCTTCAGGCTTTAGAACCATTGATGCACCTCCAGCGAAACTCAAACTAATAGTGGGGAATATATCTGAGACACTATAAGAGAAAAAAAGAAGCAATGTCAGATTCAAATACCAGCTAAAGAAGTGAGGCAACAAAGGAGGTGAAAAGTGACAATGCGGAGAGGCACCTGGATGTGGATAGATAACAATGGCTCCCCTTTGTAAAGAGTAGACGTGCAGATCCTGAAACGATCTGGGAAATCTTTGTAAAGAAGAACACTAGGTTACCAAACTAATAAAATATTCAGATCCTGGATGTGAATAGTTGAATGTTTCTTGCTGAAATAATAATAACTTACTCTTTTCCTCAAAAAAAAAATAATAACTTACTCTATTAATAAAGATATCGTATGCTTCCTCTGCAAGGTATGCTAAAGTTGTTCCAGAATCTACTATTGTCCCTCGATTGTTTGTTGTTGCAAATATTTTTGGATCAATGGGTAAAGGTTGGTCATTGATAAGAATCTTCTCAAGATCTAAATTATAATGTGGTCTGAGCAATTAGAGCAAGCGGGAGTACTTGTCAGCCGAGCAAAATGTACTTAACTCATAGTGATAGTCAGCAACATGTAAAACAAAGAAATTTAAAAATAAACCAACAAAAATTACTATTTTAAGCAAGCTATAAAAGAGGACTTAAATCAAGGAGTTTCAAACCAGTTGTTAGTCAATTATATATTCATAATATTCAACGCTCAAACTAATTATCTGCCACGACAACATTAAACCCCAAAAGTCAGATTTTATCAAAACATTTGAGTGTAACCACTTATTTCACTGGAACTTAGAGAAGCACAAATTGACATGCACAAATCTAGTACCAACTACCAAGAGAAAAGGGAAAGGCTCTAACAATTCTGTTTGATTACTCCTAGCGTTCCTAAATAAGTTTCCAGCTGAGAAATATGACAGTTTAATGGTGGTAATATTTTTTTTCACAAATTGTCAAACATACCCCTATTAATTTTTAGGTATTAAAAGCAGCGATCTAAAGTAAATGTTAATATGTGAGGGAAACTTAGTCATTTTAGTATGTCTTTTTTATTAGGTTACTAAGTTACGACTCATTGATGAACAAACTGTATTTCCTTGATGTACAGTAAACGTCTTTAAGAATGGAGTGAGTCTATTAATGAATCTTGTTTTGCAGATTGGAGAGGGGTGTCAACGTGTTCAAGTAAACAATGCTATTATGCTATCATCAAGGCTGAAAAGTGAAAACATACTGTGATGGGACAAGTGGTGTGTAAACAATATTCGGCTCCACAATCTGACCTAGTACCAGTACACCCCCACCAGCATTACTTCCTCTAAGACAATGAGAGAATACATTTGGGACTATTCCGTGTGATGAAAGTTGTGAGATAACTGACATGCTTTGTTGCCCAAATCCAAAGATTCCATCAACTGCTCGATCAGGTTTTGCCAAATCCTCGACCTGATATGTGCTACATCTGTCATGTCAGAAAATACATTAAAAGCACTACCAAAGAGGGAACAAAGTACTCCTTTCCAAAAAAGGTTCGTAGTTTGATAAAACAAAGCTGGTTTTTTGAGTAATTTCCAAAATAAGTCAAGTAAACGTTGATGATAAATTTAACTAAACTGGCCCAAAAATTAATTGTAAGAACTTAAGAAGAATCTCTTATTTATCGCAGATGTACCTTACCAATTTAAAGGTCTATCTTGGTCAAACATGATTTTCTTTTTTGTGATGGAGGCACTATTCAAATAATATTAAATCTTCCAGCTTAGTAATTGCACATATATAACAAGATAGCTTACCCAAAAATGACTTGAGCTGAGGAGTTAGAAATTGATGAAGAACCAAAAACGGCGTCCAAATGGATAAAGTCAGCTACATAATAACCTGAAGTTCCACTGCCATCACCATACTGAAAGGTATAGCTACATTGATTCTCAGCCGAACACCCAGTGTCAGAAGACTGTTTCCCAAGAGCACACCTTCGGTCAGAGCAAGAGATCAATGATGCTGTTGAAGAGCTTGCTGGGTCAAAGAACTCAAGTTGTATCTGTAAGAATAGAACATGTGCTAGTTTTATAACACAAGGAGCATTCTCAAATGTAAACCAAATTAACACTTTTAAGGTTTTGAAATAAGAGGAAGAAGGCTGTGTTTATTATAATTGATAACATGTGGTAGTTTTATAGCACATTCAGTATTCTCAAATGTAAACCTAATTAACACTGGGTTTCAATCAAGAAAAAGAAGGCTGTGTTTATTATACCTGAAGCCCGCTAGCTGTAGGACAACCATTACAAGAAGCACAACTAACCCATAAAACATCACTTCCAGTATCGATCTGTACGTAGAATTCTTTCGGAGGAGAACCCAACTGAACACGAGTATAGTAAAGCCTAAACGAAAATAAATGTTGTTGGTTTCGAAATGCTTCTCAATATTTTCAGAACCATTTATTTCAGATTTCAAAGTAGAATGATAAATACACACAAAAAAACTTAAAAACTAGGACATAAAGAAAAAGTAAATCTACATCTCCCTCCATACCAAAAAAGGAATCCAGTTTGATCAAGCGTAACTAATTTGTCATGTAATTTGTAAAGTTGCATATTGTAAAAATAAAAAAATATTGCTCATGATTTATTATAGTTCCACCTTACCAAAATTAAAATATTGCATCAGTCAAACAACACTCTTTTGGAATGTAGGTATTTATGATTATCACAACTATTCCCACCACATTTGTCATAATATAGTCCAACTTGATATCTTAAGGAACTTTTTAACAAAAAGAATTACAATACCAATTGCAGCAACAAAAGATACAACCTTTGAAAACATAAAATTTCATTTATGTTCTTGAATCATCCAGTAATTGAAATAAAGAGAAATAATAACATTACCCAACAAGAGAAGGATCAAAGGTTCCTTGAACTGAGAAATCGACCACACCGCCTAAAGCAGACTGCAAGATTCTTCTGTGCCTTGTTTGGTCATGTGCTCTAAGCCGTGTCATCTCAACTCTATGGCTCATGGGGAACGCTCTCTCTAAAGGAAAACTCAATGTCTCTCCACCACAGAGAATTCCAGACTCTGACCCCAGTAAAGCAGCCACCACAACAGCCATAACCACGAGATGTCTCAAACTCATTCTTGATCTACCAGTGTGTGCCTGCTTGATGTACACAACTTTCTCAATGGATACATAATATTCAGTTATCCAGACAGCAGAAGGCATAGAAGTGTGGTAATGCTTCTATTTTATACAAAAAATTGGGGGACTTCCTACAACTCAAGTTCCAATTTTGTTGGTTTTAATGATCCAGACACATGTAATAGGGTAATTCCACATGACATGAGAAATCTACATGTTATTAGCTTACACTAACTTCAATTAATTAGAGCGATAACCCAGTTTTCTACTACCTTTCGGCTCCTCAAAAGGCCTTGGTAGACGGTTGAGCTATGTTAACCTTAAAAAAATGCAACAAACAAAGAAATGTTTGCCCAAAATCATCCCTTTCTCACAGTTCTGTCTTTACTGTCCATCAGCCTCATTCACAGAAAGTTTCCAATTTCATAGAAAGAAGAAGAACAAAACTCGAAATTTCAGTGATGGGTCACTGGATCAGCTATGAAGGATCAAATTTCATACCAGTGGCTGCGCAAATCTACTGCTCGCCAGGTGCTTTGTAAACAAACTGTATCTTTGCCGGTGCAGAAATATATGGTTGAAAAATTATTTATACCAAGAGCGGATGTTTGATGCAGAGGTGACTCAGAGCATTAGAAAAAGAAAAAAGAAAAAAAAAGCAAATGTACAAGTATGTCTCTCTAGAAAGTGTCGAAAAAGATCAATTTATATTATGGATGCCTAAAGATGCAATTGTAAATAAATTTGAAAAAAAATATTTAAATAAAAGTTAAACATAACAAAATTCAATGAATTTTTATCTTTTTATTTTTTTAACAAAATTACATAAATTATACTACCTCCGTCCCGGTGGACAGTGGACTTTGCCAAGTGCAAAGTGGGTGAGAAATAAGGAAAATGAAACTGTGTGGTTGAAATTTATGCAAAGAAGAAAGAAATGTGTAGAACCACAAATTAGTTGCTTTAATTGAAAAGTGACAAAGTTTTTTGGGACAACCAAAAGGGGAAAGTTGACAAAGTCCAACGGGACGGACGGAATATGTTAAAGGAAGAAAACACTTTTAATCGTATTTTCTGATTTTTTTTTCCACTAATTAAAAGTAGGTGTTTCAAAGTCCCACTCTAAGTTACGGTTCTCTCTTCTCTCTAGAGGGTGAGGAACCCTAGCGGTTGTCTCCCCTTTTGTAGAGGTTGCGATTTTTTGTTGCCCCTATCAATATGGGGTTGGAGTGACAGATTATACTGATTGTAAGTGTTCTAATGTTTGGGATTGAAACTACGTCGAAGGAGATAGCGTTGACGGATAAACGAGGTGCGGCTGCAAGGTTGTATCGAGACGGGATCGTGAAGCCTTGGTCGGCCATTTCTGACGGTGGTGGAGTTGGTATTCATCCATATTGTAAGAGTTCACCCTCCTCCGTAAATAACTCCATACCAAGAAGAACTTTGTTAAAAGATTTTATTTTAGTTTATGATCTCTTTAGTAGCACTTGTTTCTGTTTTAGTCCGAGTAGATTTGGTTTGAATGTTTGGATTTTTGGATTTCTTTCGATAGACAGGGTTTTGGTTCAATTAGATTGTTTAGGCTTAAATTTGTCCGTTTCAGGTTTAGCGAGTCATGTTGCTTTGTATGAGGTGACTTACTCTAAGTCTACTCCTAGGTTCACGATTGGATATGTAAATTCTGTCCGAAGATTGTCTTGTATGTGTTGTTGATTTTAATATAACGGTCGTTCTTTTATGACAATATAAAAAATTCCCTATGTTTAATTAACTCATATTTTGAGCAATTTCTTATTTAAAATAAATTGCTTATGTGTAGGGGCAGAGTTAGGGTTGGGGGCAGCTGCTCCCACTGCCCTTACAATGAATACGCCCTTTAAAATAAAATAACTATAAAAATTCATTATTATAATAGTACATGGTGTACAAAAAAATAGAAGAAAAGACAAATATATTATCATAAAGGAGTAAAGTTAATACCTTAAAATTGTGCTCAATATTCCTCCAAAAAGATAAATTTGTAAATCACAACTTGTGAGTCGAAAGCTTATGAGAATTGCCTCATTTTATTTTCACACAAAGTATAAAGTACTTCATACGGAGTATTAGATTAGTAAGATTACATGTTACTTTCAAGTTCTATTTTAGAAATTAGACTTGTCCTCAAATTATCAGATTTTTATTTATAAGAATACACAATCATTCATAGTAAATAAATTCATATAGTGTCACATTTTATTTTTTTAATTTCTTGTAATTGTTTACCCTTATTAAAAATTCGAAAAACAAATGTTAAAATTACTTATATTGTGTAAGGATCAAAATATTTTTGAGAGAATCGATCTTATTTTTCTCATATATAAATATGAAAAGATATTTTTCTGGTTGATTCACATAACTTTGTCTATTAACTACAGAGTTGAGAGTACTACTTTCCCACTTGCCGTTTTCGCAATAAAATGGATGAAAAAGCAGCCTCATACATTATCAACGGAAAAAAATTTAGTTTCTAGTGGAAAATAGATATACTTCGTATTTATTTATTGCAGTATCCAACACACAAAAAAATATTGCACTATCCAATTTGCAAGTAATTAAAATTATATCATTACTAACAATTACATAATTAAATTACAAAATTAAATATGTAATTTTCTAATATATCACTACCTCCATTTCACTAACATTAGGAAAATAAGGTGGTGACACGCTTATTAAGAAATTGAAAAAATACAATTATGTGGTTGATATTGAATTGATAAAGTAAAAATAAAATTAAATGTCTCCACAAACTCAGAGTACCTTTATTTTGTGTAAGGATCGTTTCCGTCTCCGGCTCAGGTCTCCAACCTTCTAAACTAAACTCACACACACCACTCTAGGGCTTAGGCCACTCCATCTCCCATGTTTACTCACTCTTCTTCACTCCACTAAGGAACTCTCACACAAAGGGAAAGGAAGAAGGAAGACACTGCACTGGGATGTTCTCTCGCAGGCTTATCTCACAAAGGGAAGGAAGTGTTGACTTTATAATAGGCTGCCTGCCTATAGAGAAGTCACGGGCATAATTAACAGGACACTCACGGGTGTGTATAGGACACTCACGGGTAAGCCAAGACAAACAAAGGGTGCAGAGGACAGCAAGCAATGGGGCTGATTCCAGGTAAGTCAACAGGACACCAATGAGTGATTTCAACTCAGGGAATCAAAGTGGGAGTAAACATGGGGTGCAGGCCTAAATAATAAAGTGGAAGGGAGGCCTTGGTAGGACCAATACCTCCAACATTCTCCACCTTATTGGTCCTAAGTGGTGTAGAGTAGCAAAACAGGTTGTGAGGAGACTCATCATCGCCGGGTCACCCGGAATATCAACAGACACAACGGGCAAACACTTTATTAGGCAACCCACAGTTATCCACAATCAAAGTTTAACACGCGTTTACAGGACAAGTGCTTCTCAGCAGAAAGACACTTGGTACCCATATCCGCGGGGTTAAACTCGGACGGGATCTTGCACAGCTTGACTCCACCTGCATCAACAATATCACGTATGAAATGGAACCTAACATCAATATGCTTAGTTCTATCATGAAATACATGATTTTTGCAAAGTTGGATAGCCGATTGGCTATCCGAGAAAATGGTAACTCCCTTTTTGAGAAACCCAATTTCGGAGACAAGGCGTTTGAGCCAGATGGCTTCCTTAAACGCTTCTGTGGCTGCAACATACTCGGACTCAGTGGTAGAAAGGGCCACAATAGGCTGTAGTTGAGACTTCCAACTAATGCAAGAGCCACACAAAGTAAAAACATAAGAAGTGGTCGACTTCCTGTTATCTCTATCATTTGCATAGTTAGAATCAACATAACCAATCAATTCAATACCACTAGCACATTTAGAGAAAATTAATCCATGCTTCACAGTAGAAATCAGATATCTAAGCAACCACTTAAGAGCATTCCAATGGGGCAAACCAGGGTTGGACATATATCTACTCAAGCAACTAACCGCATATGCAATATCAGGTCTAGTGCTAACCATAAGATACATCACCGACCCTATTGCGCTGGAATAGGGCACAGATTTCATTTTCTCAATTTCAGGAGCAGTCTTGGGAGACTGGTCCTTACTTAACACAAAGTGAGATGCCATAGGGACATTAACAGGAGAAGCAGATAACATATTAAATTTACTCAAAACTTTTTCTATGTAAGAAATCTGATTCAAAGTAAGAGTACGCTTACTCCTATCCCTAACAATGTTTATGCCTAGGATCCTCTTGGCATCACCTAGGTCTTTCATGGCAAAATTCGCACAAAGACATTTCTGCACATCTTTAATAGCATTCAGAGAAGGACTAATTATCAGCATGTCATCCACATAGAGTAACAAAAATACAGGCACAGAAGAAGTATTTTTGAAATACAGGCAATGATCACAAACAGATTTCTGGAACTTCAAAGATATCATGCATTTATCAAATTTGATGTTCCACTGCCTAGGGGATTGCTTCAGGCCATACAAAGCCTTCCTAAGCAAACAGACATGCTCACTTCTCTTGGGATCCACAAAGCCCTCAGGCTGGGTCATATAAATTGTTTTATCCAATTCACCATGCAAAAATGCAGTAGTTACATCCATCTGTTTCATTTCCCAGTCATGGTGAGCAACTAAAGCAAGCATCATACGAATAGTGGTGAATTTAACAACAGGAGCAAAGATTTCTGCATAATCTACCCCCTCTTTTTGAGTAAACCCCTTCGCAACCAACCTAGCCTTAAACCTAACATCACTAGGTTCTTCCTTAACCTTAAACAACCACTTACACTCAACTACCGAACAGTTGGGGGGTCTAGGTACAAGGGTCCAAGTCTGGTTCACTCTCAAAGAGTCCATCTCACTTTTCATGGCACTAATCCATTTCTGAGACTCTTTGGAACCTAAGGCTTCACGGTAGGTCTTGGGTTCATTCAGCTCTAGGGATTCAAACACAGAAAATGCAAACATAGAAGTATCATGCACAATGAAAGCATAATCAGGCATACTATCAGCAGTTCTCCTGATAGCCCTTCTACTCCTATCTCTAGCAAGTTGATAATCATGCAAATTATCACTACTAGGCTCCACATGCAACTCATGCAAATTATTGTTATCATGAAAATCAGATTCAGCACCCATATCATGCAAATCATGCTCAGTATCATGCAAATGCTCCACCTCACTCGAGGTGGTGGGACTATCATGCTCAGAGGAATCAGAATCATGCATAACAATATCATCAGAAATAACAGGATCAACAGATAAAGGACTAGCAGCAACAGGGACAGACTCCACCTCACTAGGAGTACTATCAGACCTAGACTTAGGATTAGAAGCAGACTCGGTCAAGCAAGGAAAATCAGTTTCATTAAACACCACATTTCTGCTAAGGACCACTTTAAAGCCTACCTGGTTCCTATCCCATAACCTGTAACCCTTTACCCCCTCTGGATAACCTAGGAAGACACATTTCTTAGACCTAGGATCCAACTTGTCACCCTGTTGGTGTGCATACGCTGCACAACCAAACACCCGAAGGTTAGACAGATCAAGAGGCTTACCGGTAAAGACGGTTTCAGGACATTTACCACCAAGAGGGACAGACGGGGACCTATTAATCAAATAGGCAGCAG